TTCGATGTGTGCTTGTCTAAGGTTCTTAATAAATTAAATAAATGTTGAGGAATTGTACTAATCATCAGTGAACCTTAGACAAGCACACATCGAAGTGTAAAGTTCAATTTACTCACTGCTGGTTACTAAACTAAATAAATGTTGAGGAATTGTATTAATCATCAGTGAACCTTAGACAAGCATACATCGAAGTGTAAAGTTCAATTTACTTACTGCTGGTTACTAAACTAAATAAATGTTGAGGAATTGTACTAATCATCAGTGTGTAAAGTTCAATCTCTTCACCGCTAGTTCGATGTGTGCTTGTCTAAGGTTCACTAATGATTAGTAAAATTCCTCAACATTTAGTTAAGTTAGTAACCAGCGATGAAGAGATGGAACTTTACACTTTCTTTCTCATCAAAATTCACGATATGCTGATAAGAGATGGAAAATCACAAATGTATTTATTATTTCCATCAAACCTAAGATAACATTGTAATTGACGAACTAAAAAAGTTAAAAGTATATTAATTTATAATCTAAGAATAAACTTACATCTTACACTGCCAACTCTCTTTTAAAAAGTATCGCTCAGTTTAAAATATTTAGAGCAATTCATTTCTTAAAAGTGACAGAAACTTTCAAAACACCTGAAGTGATTTAGTTTGAGCATAAAAAGTAGTCGCTAGAAAAATCGCTTAAAATAGAGGTTTCTTTACCAAATGATGTTACTTTCCAAAATTTCTATTTGTTTTATTTAGCGGCGAATAACCCTATCATCAATGGAGGTCTTTTAAAATACCAAGTTGGTGACAAGGTAAACGTCAACTGCTCCTCAGCGAAATCTAAAAAACCTGCGACGCTTTCCTGGTTTATAAACGACAGAAAGGTAGTTTAGTTGTACTGTATTAAAATTCTCTCTGTGAAATGTTTTACTGTCTTCTTTCTAAACGTTTATAAGTTTCGTTTTATCAATCTAATTGTATAGGTGAAAGAGAGAAAGGTAAGTATATTCCTGTTTTTCAATTTCTGTGTTGGTGTCGCTTTTTACAAATACTTCGTTTGTATAATATGTTTTTCATATTCTCCTTTTAGTCTGTTCTAAGTTATTTCATAATTAGTGTTTTAATGAAACAAAATTAGAGATTATAAATCAAATTTTGATTTACTATTTTATAAGTGAATGACATATAACATCCAATCTCATGGAGTGTTCGGCTGTTCACGGGACGTCACTTGTTTCTATTTTATTTTGCTTTTGTATATGCCAGACTTTTAAGTTTCGCATTAGTCACAAGTAACAAAAATACTACTATATGAGCGACTCCTGTCTACTGATTACACACCTTAAATGAAGAAAATGTGACTTAGCCGTTTTTCAAATCTTTTCATTAGACTTTTCAGATATAGATTGAACCTATCTGATAACAAAACATCTTCATTAAAAGAGATACAATTTTCTTTTGAATTAAATTACCTACTCCAGTTTAACAATTGTTTTTCTTTAAAATAATTTAACTTAATTGTATAATAACCCACTTTCTGTTCTTATGTTTTATTTGATTAATTGATAATGAACACGTGTGTGAAAATGTCACGACACAAAGATGCCTTCTAGTAACAAAACACTTATTATATATTTGTTTGGAAAAGATTTCACTATACTCTATAAAAATGTACTTAAAGAAAAGAAATGGACGATTTTCATGTCGCCACTAAATAGGTTGAATATGTTGGATTGAAGCGATTATGGACTCTTACCACGTTTTTACAGTCCATGTCACGTACGGAAATGCTCTATTTGACGACTGTGCATTTTGAGAATAGCCCTACAGTATAGTTCCTATTGGAAAAGGTGCCTTTGTAAGGTTGTCGTGTACCCATCTTCCCTGCAGGTTTTCCATAACTATATTTCAACAGCATGATCACACAGATGAGTAGATTGGTATGTTTTAGCATGAATACCTATTTGATTCTCTAGTTGACTGAAACATTCAACGATTGAACGGATATATTGTAGAGTAGCAACTTGTGTAAACGTGACTTGTCACGTTTTTCCAGTGGGAAATATTTCTTGATTATGCTTGAAAAAGTGAAAATCTTAAATCACATTTTATGATCTGAATGTATGGATAAATATAAACCTGAGTCTGTATATCTATTAGATCGTCAAGAAATTAATGTCGT